TTTTTTTGTTGCTTTTGTGGTAAGCCTTTCTTCATTGTGAGCCTTAGCTTTCCTTACTTCATCTTTACAGGCTCTGGCTATTTGCTGATTTTCTGTCTTAGTTATGTACCCCTCTTTCCACTTTTTATACTTATTGTCTTTCAATTTGTCAGAGAGTTCTTTATGCAGCCATGCTGGTTTCTTTTGGGAGCTGTTATTTTATTCTTCATTGGTATTATGCTAGACTTTTGTAATCTCATTTTTCAAAATTTCCCAAAAATTTTCTTGGGTTGTTTTCCCCTTGAGGATTCTCATCCATGGAATTCTTCCCAAGCTCTAAGTTTATTGAAATTAGCTCTCTTAAAGTCCAAGACTCTAGTTTGACTTTGTTCTACTACTTGTGTTTGCATAATGTTGAATTCCAATGTTCACTTTCCCCCAGGGTTCCTATGGCTTCAACACCTTCTATCATTTCCTCTCTGTTAGTGAGAATTAAGTCTAATATGGCCAATCCCCTTGTTCCCTTCTCTACTTTTCGGGAAACAAAGTTGTCTGCTAGGTTCATTAGGAACCTGTTGGATCTTCCACTTGGTGCAGTTTGTTTCCCAGTTGATGTCAGGGTAGTTAAAATCTCCCATTACTATTGTGGTGTGCTTCTACATACCTTAGTTATCTGCCTAATTAAGGGTATTAGCCATTAATAAGATATTTTATTATTCTTGACAACATGAAGAACCCAGCAGTTCCAGTTGCTTAACTAAGTCACTATGAATTTATTCATAAACTGAATCTGAAAAATTAAGAACATATTGTTTCAAACCTACAACAAACACATTGGGTTCTGGACATTTTACCAAACCATCTTGGATTGGCTGTAGTTCAGCAGAAAAAGAAAAGAGAAATACTTCTGGGTTACGATATTTTGTGGAGTGATTTTATGGGATAAATATGGCAAAGCCTGGCGCAGATCACTTTTTTTCTTCCCTTAGCAATTTCCAGTGCAATGTATCCCTCTCTCTTGCTCATCTCCAATTTTTCTAGGATCTTCCCATCTCATAGCCTCTATCAACCTCACTGGCCTTGATTTTTGCCATCTCTTCTTTCTTGCATCATATCTAAAAACACATCCGTTTATAACAAATTTTTCAAACTGTTTCCAGATCAAAAACGGTGATAATTCATTTCATGTTGAGATCAAACATGTTCTCAGTTCATGTAGAAATCACCTCAAACTAGCTGCTCCATGCATTCACCATTGTATACATTCCTAGAATAATGATAATTAATCATTGGGGTCACTTTAGGGATGATTACAGAAGTCAACTTACCTAACTGCAAAGCTTCTTGATACCTTTTTGTATCAAAATACAAAGAAACCAGCCTTGCCTAAAGGGAGAAAAGTAAAGAATTGTTGTGAAAACTTATGATGATTAAATACTGATCTAAGAGCCAAAATGTGTAAAATATGAACCAGGAAATACTCTCGGGAAAATGTTTTAGGAGTGGCAAGAAAACATAGGAAGAAAACCCATATTATAAAACACAACCAGAGTAGTACAAAAGAAATCAGAAGTAATGTTTTTGAAATGGCAAGGATAGAAACATGGACTAAAGGCCTACGTGGAACTGCATGTGTTAATCCTTGCAGGTAGGAGCACCATTTTATTAACACATTTACAATCTTATAAGATAAAATCTTAGGTCAACCATATCTGAGAAAGCTCTTTAGGAAGAAAAATACATTTGCATTATAAGCTGCAGGAAAATTGCCTGTAATAACATGTGAATCAGTTTGGAAGCTTATCATGCTCCAAACTATTACTTGAGAATATGCTGTCAAGAACCTAGAGAAAAAGTAATAACAAATGTTTTGAGTATAATAGATTGGCATATAGGATGTCAGGTTCCATACCCAATAACAAGGGAAAGAATACTGTGCATTATTCCATTAACTACAACGGGCATATGTCATATCCTACCTCCAGAGCTTGACGCAAGAATGTCCTCTTCTCCGATTTGGCCCATTCAATGCATTCAAGACACAGGTCAACCTAAAAGAAAGACCACGTTTATTCAATTATTTTTTCTACTATTTGCACAATCACTGCTGTCATTATATCATTTTCTACATAAACTGTCTCTGAACATTTGCAGAGATATGCCTGAATTTCAATTGTCTCACCTCTTGTCCTGTTGCAGCTTCCATATCTAGGAATAGGTCTAGCAGGGACCGAACCAGACGAGCTGCCTTTGCCTTGCTAATGGAATTCAAGAAAGGACGCACATACTTCAGTAGTCCTCCAAGCTCTATATTAACAATAAAATAATCAAGTAGAAATATAGTTCAGGATCTGAAATTGTTATCAGAATGCATTATAAAAGATTATGTTCATATTCTAGAAAAAATGACCACACATACATTTTAGCAGTCAGTTATCTGAGACACAAAAGGCATATTAATTTAAACATCTTCTGATTTCCATTACAGTTTTACTACAGGGGTCTTTCTCCATGTGTAATTGAAATGTCACTTTGCCTAATTATTATTTGCACCTAGGCAGTGTTTTTAGTTTATGGCTTTATGAAATGTGTGAAACCAGCCATGGTTAAATCATAATTTAACATAGAGAAAGGTGATGAGGAGGAAAGAATGTTTAAATTGTTTGATGTTTTGATGAAAATCAAGTTGAAATCCTATTCTAGCATTTATGCTAATTGTAAAAAAATCGCTAGTAATGTGACCATTAAATTGCTTTAAACATAGGATTCACCTTCGGCTTGTCCTGTCTTGGCCAAGAGACTCCCAAGTTCCAGAATGCTCTGTTCTTTGACTTGGACTGCTTCTTCATCATTCTCTTGAACATCACGTTTTACTGGGAAAATAAAAGGTTTTGATGAAAGAAGAGGTATATGTCAAATCAAAGAGTGTTTACAAGTCTCCCAAACTTCCATTTTAAATTTGCTTCTTATAAGCCAAAAACATATGCCTGACAAATTGTTGAGTCTTGGAAAGGAGCAGAAAGTTTTGCATGATGAAGCAGCTCAAAGCATAGAATATTTATACAAGGGCTTGATGTTACCTCATTTGGTGTTAATACTTGAATCAGCATAAATATGTCCTCAACAATGAAATGAATCCGCCACACTCTTGAATGTGTTACTAGATATTGAAAATAAGACAATGTATATTGTCTTATTACAAAGATATTCAACATGAAAACAGATATGTCATCAGTGCTAATGTATTTGTATGAACAAATAGACACAAAACCACTATTATTCAGAGAAGCCAATACAGTAAGCTTGTTTCTGCCCAGTGCAATGTTCAATATTTAAGGCATGAAGGAAATACAAACTTCTTGCTTGAAAGATCATCCAACTTTCTTTAGCAATACTGAGATCATATACTGTCTTGAAACAAAACAAAAACAAAACAAAACACGTATCTCCACTATAATCTACTATTGCTTACAAAGGCTCATTGGCAGAATTAGTCCACTCTAGTTTATCTTCTTTTCATCTTAAGACAGGGGTCTGCAACCTTAAAACACTCTTAAGAACCAACAGTTCCCAATAGCAAAGTTACAGCCAAATTAATACTAATTTTTGAACCAATTTTTTAAATAGAAAAATCAGAATCTCATAAAATTTATTTTGTCCTAGGCTAAATATTCATTGTCTAGCACAGTGAAAATGCATAGGAACCAATTCCCTGTCAGTTGTCTCTTTATAAATTCCAGTAACTTACTACCAGGATTCACTAAGCAATACCAGGGAACTTTTGGTGGACAACAAAGGTAGTAGCAGTTTGTCCTCTGGTGTACTCATCTCCCTATCTCTTCACTGCTGGCATGCTCACAAAAGTAAAAAACCTTTAAAGCAGATGTCCTTACTTATTTATTTTGTCTAAGAGAGGAAGTTATGCTGTCTAACTGTGTTACCAAGCAGCATGTTCTACAGAAAATCAAGTTAAATGTGAAATGTATGGAGTAGAGCAGTGGTTCTCTCAACATTTTCTTCACCACAGACCACATTTAAATACCTTTTATAGCTGAAGACCATGGGCACAGACCCCATCCTCAAAGACTTAAGTCAAGATTTAAATCATAACATTTCTTCAAGCTTTCATAGATACCCCCCCACACCCTGCGATAACATTGCGGTCTCCCAGTGGTCCCCAGTCCACAGGTTGAAGATCATTGGATTAGACTATTCAGATAGGTGTGTAAGAAGATCTGCACCGAAGAAAAAAGGGAGACTCTCATACATAACCTTTGTTATAGCCAATTGGATTTTCTCTTATTATTGGATTTGGAAAACCTACTCTTTCTGGAACAGAATGGGCTAACTCACCATAGCCACCTTGCTGCAAGACAACTCGCTATGGTGAACACCCAGTGGGACAACTCATTGGGAAACAATTTAAAATTTCTATTTAATTCTTTTAATTTTTGCCATTTACATTTCATTCTGTCCCCCCTTTTGCCTCCTTTCTTTAATGATTCTATTCCACTATTTCTTTAATATTAGTGTAACTCTTGTCCTGAATGAGTTGTCCTGCAGCGCGTTGGCCCTGGCAAGTTGTCACAGACCTTTCTGGAATGTGTTTAGAATTATATAATTAATTCAACAAAATTCTTTTTACATAAGAACATTACAAGGACCATTCTTCTAAAATCAGAACAAGATCTTATATAATTTTGTAGTTAACCACTCTCATAAATGGACATAAGAATAGTAGCTACTTGTTTAATAACAGCAGCTGATATTTCCACACCATATACAGACAGTCCTCGACACACAACAGTTCATTTAGTAACCAAAGTTACAACAGCACAGAAAGAAGGGACTTATGACCATTTTTCACACTTAAAGACTGTTGAGGAATCACCCATGGTCACATGATTTATATTCGGATGTTTGACAACTGACTCATATTTATAACTGTGGCAGTATCCCAGGGTCATGTGATCTCCTTTTGCAACCTTCTGACAAGCAAAGTCAATGGGGAAACCAGATTTACTTAACAACCGTGTTACTAATTTAACAACTGCAATCATTCTCTTAATGTGGCAAAAGGTCGTAAAATGGGGCAAAATTCATTTAAAATTTCCATTTAACAAAAAAAAAATTGGACTTTGTTATGGTCATATGTTGAGGACTATCTGTATTTACTTATGAGGACTTCTGGAACATGACAAGCTGTAACCAGAAATACCTTTACAGGGAAAAATCAGGAACATATAACATATGCTACACCAATAGCTTTATTCATGTTGCTTTGCCATTTTTTTTCTACATCCAATTTAGCCTTTTTTTAGATCCACCATTCTCACTCTTCACATTGCCCTTCTTAGTGCCATCTCTGCACCATATAACATTCCATCTCCTTAAAAAGTCACCTCAGTTTCACTTAGAACATGTTTCTCCTTTTCCATTCTGTAGCAGGACAATCCCATCAAAAGCAAACTATTACCTAAAAAAAAATCCCAACTAAAAATGAATCAATAAAATATTCAGGGTATATTAATTTACACTCATTAATAGAGTGCCTTGGCTTTCCACAACCAACAAGTGAAATTTTTAAAATGTATTATGATGGACTTTACCTGCCTGTCAAAACTTGCAATATAAATACTGAATGATGAACATATTAAACCACTAGCAAAGCAAGTGCAATATAGTCACTTACTATTAACTGTAACCGAGAGTCCACTTTCCACTCACATCAGAAAATCAACCTACATTTCAGAACCTCATACACGCTTCTCTCCAAGGCCATTCATTACCTTTGGCGCCTTGGAACCGAGAGTCGAAAAAGTGACATGGGGTGAATGAAGCAGGCCCGACTGCCCGCTTAGGAAGTTACAAAGTAGCCTGACTGGCCCAGGGCTACAAAGCAGGTGAAAAGCGGCAGAGAAACCCATTCCTATCAGGCAAATCCGCCGGGTTTACCTTCTGATCTTTAAGTCGCCTCTTCTGAATGAAAGCCACGAGGGCAGGCAGGTCAGAGAGACCGCCTGGCCACCTGTTAACCCCCACCTGATTCCCGTCTTCCGATCCCCACTTGCTTTCTCCGTTTCCCACGAAGCCACGCTGAGCATCTTAGAGACCTTTCCCACTAAGGCTCCCCGTTTCCAAATCCCACCTTCTCGGGAGATCCGGCTTCCCTTCGGGGTTGCACACAGTGAGTCAGCAGCGGTTCCAGCCTATCCCGTCCACAGGCCCATCATCACCAAATCTCTTTGCACCCTCGGCAGCCAGATTTACCTGCCGGTTTCCCCCTTTCCGGCCGGCCCAACTCACCTATGGAGTGCAGAATGCCGATAGAGGCCTCGCGATCGGTGCTCAGTAAAGACTGGGCGCGCTGGAACTCCAAGCCCGCCGCAGCCGCCATCTTAAAAGCCAAACTCGCTCACTCACGCCGGCCGGAATCAGAGGGCCTTATTTCCACCGGAAACTGCTTGTCTCACTTCCTCCCCTTCGACTTTGCTGCGTCAAGCTGTAATGATACAACTCTATGATTACCCCACCAAGAAGCAGTGTTGGCTGGGATATGTAGTGCTTTATTAACATCTTCGGAATCAAGCGGGCTACTTGTTGCTACTAGGAAACCGGTGAAGCGAGGGAGGAGGCGTTAAGCTGTCTACGCTCTTCGCTAATTCAACATCATAGAAGTACGCAGAATACGCCCATTGTTAGGTACACACAAACACACCTGCAATTGACTGAAATTTATTAGATGTTTGCTCATTCTGTAACGGCTGTAACCAGACTGATTTCAGATAGGACTGTTTCTAAACGTTTCTACACAATCCCTTATAAATCCAGAATAGAGACCACTATTTCAAGTCAAAATCAAGTGATTTAGCCCCAGTCCAACTTTTTTTTTTGAAAAAAAGTTTTAATGGAAAACCATTTATTTTAAATGAAACACAAATGTTTTGAAATTCAGTAGAGTTGATCTATGATGCTAGACCACAGAATTTAAGATACTAAGAATTACATGGCACGTAATTAAAACTGCATAGAGTCAGAAGGCAAATCAAATTCAAGTTGCTGTGAAAGAAAGGTGTACAATATATGTATATTCTTTCATATATAGGAAATTAGCACCCACCCTGCTAGAAGAATATTACATTTCCCTGGCTAAGAAAAGGAGAAATATGTTTTTAAAGATGAAGCAGCTTCCTACAGCTCCCTGTCCGCACCCACCCACCCCCTTCAGCTCTAGAGTGATGGAATTAAAACATGTTCCTCAGGACATGGTAGGATTAGCCCTCTACCCATCTCATCACATGCCACCTGGGAAGATTACATCACCCAGCAAGGCTCAACCAAGCCTGGGATTCAGGACAGCCTACATTTGCTCCTGCATGGCCCCATGGGAGTCTGACAACCAATCAGAATACAAGCTCAAATTCAAGAGCCCAGAGAGAGTATAAAACTCCCCTTTTTTTCTTCATCCAACATCTTCAAGGCATGTTGTTCTGTCTACCATTAAAGCCATCTTTCCAAACAGCCACCATGTTTCCAGTGTCTTTCTCCCCACTTGAAACTGAAGCCAGAAGGACACTTCTTCCAACACATGGCAGCTTGAATTTTTTACTTAGTGCTTCTGTGCTCATTGATAGCACTTGCTACCCAAAGCTTAGATCCGGCGTGTCAAACTCATGGCCTGCGAGCCGGATGTGTCTTACGCTGATCACACCCACCCCTGGTTTAGCGAAGGGAAAAGTTGTGATATTTCATGTGACGAAGTGTCGTCACGAGTTTGACACCACTAACTTAGATTATCTGAGAATTATTACAGACTTGCAAAGTAGATTGCCATTATCTAAATTATATGTAATCATCCACTTACAATAATTTATTTAATGGCCATTCGAAGTTACAACTGCACTGAAAAAAATGACATGACCGTTTTTCACACAACGTTTGCAGCATCTCCATGGTCACACAATTAAAAATTCAGATGCTTGGAAATCAACTCATATTTATGATGGTTGAGGTGTCCTGGGGTCATGTGATTATTTTTTGTGAATTTCTGACAGACAAACTCAATGGAGAAGCCAGATTCACTTAACAACTGTGGCAAGAAAGGTTGTAAAATGGAGCAAAATTCATTCAACAACTGTGCTCAATTATGGTTTTAAGATGAGAACTTAGCTTAAGGACTCAACTCAGATATAGGAAATGATCTAAAGTCTCTAATGATTTCATGGCAATAAAGAATAATTAAATAGTGGTTTTCTAGATTTTGCTTAGTTGTTGCACTTACCATAATTGTTTAGCGCAGGTAGTCCTCAACTTACAACCATTGGTATAGCAACTGTTCAAAGTTACAATCAATGGCACCGAAAAAAGAGACTTATGGCAGTTTTTCACATGATGGTTGCAGCATCCCCATGGTCACGTGACCAAAATACTCAGCAAAGTCAATTGGGAAGTCTGATTCATTTAACAACTGTGTAACTAACAATTGCAGTGGTTCATTTAATAACTGTGGCAAGAAAGATCAGAAAATGGGGCAAAACCTACTAATAACTGTCTTACTTAGCAATGTAAATTTTGGGTTCAATTATGGTCATAATTTGAGGACTACTTATATATCATACAATACACTCTGCTCTATGTATAGTATCTTTTCTATAATAAAACTATATTCCAACATGCATGCATACACACGCACGCATGCACAGACAATAGATAGCAGATTCTTGTTAGAATTCTAGTTTCCATAGCAATGTTTTCCTCCACTTTTACTGTAATATGTTTTCAATTTTTCCATCCAAAACATTCTTTAAATTATTGAAAAATGTCCCAGTTTGTCTGCTTTTCTTTTGTGTTATATATACCATGGAAAGCACACTTATTTTCCCAAAACAAAACATCATGTTAAATAAACACACATACACACACACATTTTTGTGCAATGCAACACTTTCTAGCTTTTTTATTCTCTAAGTTTCAATAGCTTCAGTACTGCAATATGTTCACTGCAGTCTGCAGCAGACTGAGTCTGGCATGGCAGTGCACTAGAGGAAAAAATCAGTAATAATAATTTATATTAGACATTATTGCAGCTATGATTGGAAATAGAATGCTGAACTAATTCTATCCTATGATAGGAACTAAGACCATGTGTTTATTTACACAAAACATAGTGTACATTGAAATAAATTATGAATAATTAATGTAGAATTTTTATTGGCCAAGTGTGATTGGACACACAAGGAATTTGTCTCCAATGCATAAGCTCTCAGTGTACATACGAGGAACAAGTGAAAATTATGGTAATAATTTGATAAGATACATTCATCAGAAATCATAAGATACAATACTTAGTGACAGTCATAAGCTACGAAATAAGCAATCAATATAAATCATACTGGGATACTAAATAAAACAATATAAATCATAAGATGCAAGCAACAAAGCTATAGTTATAAGAAAATAAATAAGAGATAATAAGAGATAATAGGAAAGATGAGAAGAATGGTAATACAGCCCTAGTAGGTGGTTTGAGAATGTTGTGGGATTATTTGTTTAGTGGGGGGCAGGGATGTAACTGTCCTTGTGTCTGTTTTGTGTGCAATTTTCTATAGAGCAAACTGGATTTCATTTAGGGCCGCATCAGGGTTGTGTTGGACCTCAGGGCCGGAGTGGGTGTGGCCAGGGTCAGGATGGCCAGCTTGACATCACATGTGTCAGGGGTGCAGTGGTGGGTTTCAAAAATTTTTGGAACCTCTTCTGTAAGTATGGCCTGCTTTCTGGGTCCAATGGTTGGAACCTCTTCTAACCTGTTCAGTAGATTTATGAACCGGTTCTACCGAATAGGTGTGAACTGGTAGGAACCCACCTTTGCAGGGGTGACTGAGGCCCGAGTCCTCTGCCAAAGAAAACAGATTCCCAACCTCCATTTTTTGGCTGGGATGGCCTCCTGTAATGCTCTGCCAGCAAAAATGGAGCTAGGGAGGGCCACTTTTTCGCTGGCAGACACACTGCAGACTCGTCCTTCGCTATTTCCAGGGCTCCCCTATAAGATGGATCTAAGTACCCCACTGGCCAGATCTGGCCCTGGGGCCTTGAGTTTGACATCCCTGCTGTATAACGTCATTTTGAAGGAAAAAGATGACACAGTTTATGCCCAGGATGTGAGGGGTCTGTAGATATTTTCACAGCCCTCTTTCTGGCTCATGCAATATACAGGTGCTCAATGGAAGGCAGGCTAGTAGCAATTGTTTTGTCTGCAATTCTAATTATCCACTGAAGTCTGTCTGTCTTGTTTGGTTGCAGTGCCAAATCAGCCTGTTAGAGAGGTGCAAATGACAAACTCAATAATTCCTTTGTAGAACTCAGGGGTGAAATTCAGCAGGTTCTGACAGGTTCTGGAGAACTGATAGCAGAATTTTTGAGTAGTTTGGAGAACCGGCAAATACCACCTCTGGCTGGCCCCAGAGTAGGGTGGGCACGGAGATTTTGCAATATCCTTCCCACAGGATTGGGGAGGGAATGGGGATTTTGCAGTATCCTTCCCCTGCCACACCCACAAAGCCACGCCCACAGAACCAGTAGTAAAAAAAAATTGATTTCACCACTGATAGCTGTATCAGCAGCTCTTTGGGCAGTATCAACTTTCTGAGTTGGTGCAGGAAGAACATTCTTATTGTGCCTTTTTAATGACATTTTTGATGTTAGGTGTCCATTTTAAGTCTTGAGATATTATAGAACCTGGAAACTTGAAGGACTCTACTGCTGATATTGTCTTGCCTAATATTGTAAGAGGGATGTGATAGCTCAGTGGCTAAGATGCTGTGCGTGTCGATCAGAAAGGTCGGCAGTTTGGTGGTTTGAATCCCTAGTGCCATGTAACGGAATGAACTTGCATTACTTGCCCCAACTTCTGCCAATCTAGCAGTTTGAAAGCATATAAAAATGCAAGTAGAAAAATAGGGACCACCTTGGTGGGAAGATAACAGCGTTCCGTGTGCCTTTAGCATTTAGTCATGCCAGGCACACGACCAGGGAGAAGTCTTCGGACAGCGCTAGCTCTTCGGCTTTGAAACGGAGATGAGCACCACCCCCTAGAATTGGGAATGATTAGCACATATGTGCAAAAAGAACCTTTACCTCTACCTAATATTGTAAGAGGTGGTAGGAGGGCTTCTCCTAAAATCTCTTATCATTTCTACAGTTTTTAGTGTATTCAGTTCAAGATTGTTCTGGCCACACCATAAGGCTAGTTGTTCAACTTCCAGTCTGTATGCAGATTCATCGTTGTCTCAAATGAGACCAATCACTGTTGTATCATTTGCAAACTTCAGTACTTTACTAAAGGGATCTTTTGAGATGCAGTCATTGGTGCATAGAGAGAAATAGAGAGAGCACACAGCCCTTGAGAGGTCTATGCTAATTCTACAGATATCTGATGTGATTTTGCCTAGCTTCACCTGCTTCTTCCTGTTAGAAAGCTTATGATCCACTTACAAGTGTTGTCAGCTATGGCTAGCTGAATCAGTTTAGTTAAAAGAATATCTGGAATAATGGTTTTGAAAGCTGAGCTGAAGTCTACAAAAAAGACTGATTGCATAACTCCTTGGAGATTCAGTATATTGTACAGTGGTGGGTTGTCAATTTTTTTTACTATCAGTTCGGGTGTGCTTCTACGCACACGGGGTGCTTCTGCCCATGCACAAAAGTGTCAGGGTGGGTGGGCGAAGCTACTACCGGTTTTCCCAATCCGGGCCAAACCGGGAACAATCCACCTGTGATATTATAGAATGTAGTGCAGAGCCATATTGACAGCATGATCTGCTGATCTATTTGCAAATTGCAAGGAAAATTCATTTCAAGCAGTTTATTAAAATATGCTCTTTTTGGCATGTATGTATTTTCATGTTTATATTTACTTCTTGGTCTTTTTAAACACTTTAAAAATACATGAACATCCTAGTGTCTATAACTACAGCTCAGGACATGCATCCTTATTGGATTGATGCTGTTGAATCAGTTGCTCAGAGATCATTCTCGGCACCAAAATGGGCTGAAGGTTTCCCCATGTTTCTTCTTTCTTTCATAGCACACAATCTACCCACTTAATCCAAGAATATAGAGAGGGTCAACAGTATTGTTAGAGGTTGTATAATGCCTCTACAATATAGAGAGGTGAAAGGTCTGGCCCCTTTTCAAAGCATGGATCAGGTGACAGGCTCATTGGCTTTTAATATACTGTCCTCCTCAGTGGTATGGATGGCTGAAATATTTATTCTTCTTCTCAAAGATTTCTTAAACAGGTTGAAGTCATTATGCTTGCTTTTAGCCATTAGTTTAGATTTTAAATGTACATTTTAAAAATAAATTCCCACTATGGATGCAGAAATAAACTTATGGCTTTGGCTGAGTCGTTTATATATACTATAAAAAGTTACAATAGATTTTCTAAGCCACCTTCATTCTCTCAGCTTGTGAAGTAGCCATGAGCATTGCCAGTGGAAAAACCTTAGGCTTATCTGCAAGATGACAGCATTTAATAAAATCCCGCAAAGCTTTCTATTAATGTCCATCTTGGCGATTGCCTACCCTCCTCCCTTCAAACTGAGAATAATTTTCTATGATACTAAATAAGCATTCACTACCCTCTTCTGTACGGTACTCGTGGGTCTAATCAGGGAGAATATTTTACAGACGCCATCCAGCAATGCAGATATTCATCCCCCCACCCTGGCTCCCCATGTACACAGGAACGAGTAAAGCAGGAAAGACCGGAAGTGGGCGGGAGGCGGATTGGCCACGCCTCCAGCAAGTGATGTAACTGTTTACTCCCGCCCCCTCCTCGGCAGATTTCGCGCTTGGAGTCTTCGCATCCCCTGTCAGTCGCGACTTCGGCTGCGGAACAGCAAGATGGCGGCCCGGGTGAGTGAACCGATGAATGACTGAAGGCGGGGGCAATGACGTGTCAGCAAGTCACTTTCTGCCCCCACCCTTTTCTTTCTCAAATTATTACAGCCGTAATTATTTTAAGAGCTCAGTTCCCCTCTTCTTTTTTGGACTGGTGTATCTGCCTTTTTTTTTTTTTAAGTAGGACCGGCAGGACCCGAATCTGCATCAGAGCCTATTTGAAGGATTTATGGAGTAGTGGCAAACGCTCTCCTCCGGGCTCCTAAAACTCAAGGGATTGATAAGGGAGGAGATCTTCGATTACACGATGATCCTCCCGCCTTTTGAAGTGGGATTTGTTTAATAACCCTGGGAAAATTTCGTACGTGAAAATAACAACAACCGCAGAACAAATGCATGTACTATCTAGCTACGTTTCCTCTGTGAGAACCGTCACAGTGAGTCATAGAGTAGCATCTCTTCACCAGCCTTTAGCAAATTGCTCCCCCCCTCCCATTTCTTAGGTTCAGATCACTGCAGTGAACCTAGAAGGGGAACAGAAGGGAGGGCAAACCTCATTTCCATATTCTTGAAATAGATGAGGAGGTGTTTTTTTCCCCTTGTTTTGAAAACTTGACAAAAACTTCCTTTTCTCCTACGTTTGTTACTCTTAAATAAGGCATTGCACAGGCAGGGAAGGCTTCACTTGTCAGTGCTGAAATGTTTCTCTGTGTAACAAATATTCATTCATTGGTGGCCTCCCAGTAATTAGCTCTTGTTGTGTTACTTCCTCCATTTGGAACAGGAGGATCCGGTGGGTGAAAAGGTGGGAGTGTCAAGCTGTTGATGCAGTTCACACTTTTACTGCAATGTATTTGGCTAGTGATGGAGCACCCTGCCTTCAGATTCCACAGTTATGCTATTAACTCAGATAAATATACTGCTGCTTTATTTTCAAGTGGCTTATTCTATGTCTGCCACTTTGTTTCTTAAAACCAGGAGTACAACAAAAATGGGCTATATTGAAAAAAGGGTCATTATATAAAGATGTCCTTTCAATAAATGGTTTTAAACATCACCAAACCTTATAGACTTTGGCTACAGTACTTCCATTTGAAAAAGGACAGTGTTGACTTAGGAACCTAGCAGAATAATTTTCTCATTCTCTGCATATTATAACATATCCAGATAGCTTCAGGAAGTATACTATAATAAACATAATATACAAACCTATACAAAAATGTGAGTTTAGTTACAGTATTAAAAATTTATAAATTAGACATCTACTTTTATTTTAACTCAAGGCATTATGCCAGTGTACATTTAAGTATCCTGATAGTTAATAGTAAAAAAAAATCTGTTTCTTGAGCTTTGTGAAAATCTTAGGGCATTTTCATGTAAGAACATTGAACAAGTTCAAAAACAGCTCCAACCTACACTGTCACAAGATGTTGGCTGGTTTTGAGAATTGACTCCTCAGTATCCTCCCACTTTTATTAATATACTGCCACTTCATTGGAGGCTTTTAACTGCAGTGAAGAAAATGGTGGAAGACAACTTGGATGTTTTCTGCAGTGGTTTCCCATTGTATGGGAGAACATCTAAATTTGTTTTATACTGCATTCTTACGTAGGAGGTGTGAGGGAATTTTTATGACTTCATATGTTCAGAGAGTCATTGGATTGAACACTGTTTGACTTAGACATGTGATCTATTCAAGATTCTGTGGCTTGAAAAAATGTGACTGTCACATGGGAATTAGAAACACTAGTGTGAAAATACCCTAAAATATGCCAGTGGGAATATTTTATTGAATCCAGTAGGAACTGTCATTCAAACAAAAGGTACTAATACTTATTGTTTCTTTCCCATTCAAGTGACAAATATTTAATTTTGGGCTGAAATTTTTGTTGTTAAACTTAGTTAATTTTAATTTCTCAACAAAAATGTGACCACCCAATGAAACAAGGATGTCTTTCGTACATTTTAAGAAAATGAGACTTTTCAGTTATTGGTGAATAGAATTATAATTATGGTTGCCTTTGTATTTGTTCATGTTTTTCCATCCTCTTTGTCCTTGAAGGCTTTTAAAAATTATATTTAACCCAAAAAGTTCAATATAAAATTTAGTATTTATCCCTTTATTATTTTATGTACTCCAAACCACGAGAACAATGATTCTTATCATAGTATGCTGGTCAAGAATTTTCTTCAGTAAAATCTCTTAATACTGAGCTGCTGGAGCAAGTGGATTTTCAGTGTAATGAAACTCCATTTTAAGACATCCATCGTATTTCCTATTCCAATTTTCTTTTTCTTTTTTTGATATTATTTTTCCAAGAGCACAATGCACTTAGAATAGCATATGTATCTTCAACAACTGATAACTACCTTAAGTCTGTTACTGTCATTCGTAATGTTCACGTTAGTACCTGTTTACTTGTATGGTTTGTGAACCACTTATCATCCCTAACCCATTCTCATGAACAGCTGCTAGTTAGAGCATGCAGGGAAATGGAGCTGAGAAGATGGATGGGCTGTTGTTGGTTAGACTGACTGAGGAGGAGGCTGTGATGCTTTTACAGAGGTAGGCTGAAGTGGACTGCACATTGAGCATTAGCAGCTTAGAGGATGTGCAAAAATGTTTTTATCAGTCTCAAAATTGTAATGACCATGCTGATTGATAGCTATAGAATTGTACCCATCATTCAGTTATGAATCAATTCCTGAAATAGTCTGGGAGCTTTCATTTTTAAAGGACATCCATCAAGATTGGTTAAAGCAACAAAAAGGGTGACTAGAAAGGATTTGAATTCTATTCAAATTGTGCAAAAGATTTGAAAGGATACATATAGTAACAATGCTGTGTTTGTTTAAGTTTAAAGAAACTGGACTTGCAATGCCAAAATATTTGGCCTGGCTATTTGCCATATAAATCAGCACTAGTCATTCTGGAAAGAAAATCCAAAGGACATGTAGGCTTGCCATAAGCTGAGCAGATTCTGCTTAATCATCCTAGTAGAGATGTGATCTTTTAAAATGCATCCATTTAAATAGTCATTGTCGATGAAATACATACCAGTGAGCAATTATAGTGATATGTTTCTTCATATAGGGATGGATGTATTCCAAGAGTAAATGAAATATGAATGTTTTGAAACATCTTGAATTTTAGTCTTAATCAGCCTAGCAAATAAAAGGTGAAGATTGCTAACCTTCTGTTACACCCAAACTAGTCTTCCTCACTTTCCTAGCCCCTATGCTGTTTACATGTCTTTCCAGCTTTGTTATTAATCTCAAGTACTTATTTAGGCTATGGGGTAGATCTACATGTATAGACTCCATTGCTTCAGCTTTTATAAATCAAGTGCACATCATATGGACTATTAACTTTATCAGGCTAGAAATAAGTTTAATCAAAGATATTATGGCTGAGTAGGCTTCCCTAACCTAGTGCTTTCCAGGTCTTTGGGACCATCATTCCAATCATCTTACCCACTAATATATAGGCTGAGAATGATGAGATCTGTAATCAAAACGGAGTGGTATGAAGTTTAGAAAGTAAAAGATTTCTGGATTGGAATTTTTCCTGGACTTTCCTGATCATGACCTGGAGAGATTTATCTAATTTTGTCTTCTGTGCAAGTTGCAGCCATGTTTTTTTCAAGCAGGAGGTCTTAGGCATGAGGAGTTTGGTCTCTTTCTAAACAACACAAAGATGATCTCTGCAAGGAATGAAAACATTAAAATATAAATTAATGGTGAAGAGATAAAATTCATGGAAAAATTCACTTTCCTAGGGTGTCAGATCACTCAGTAGTGAATGCAGCCCAGAAAGAAACATCAGATTGCACTGGGTCATACAGCAATGATGAACATGAGCCAAATAATGGAAAAGCAAGGACATCAGCCTGGCAACCAAATGTAGGTTAGTCAGCTTCATTGTGTTCCCCATAGAAACATATCTCTGTGCAGAGATACCTGCCTACTAGGAAGAGAAGAGGAAAAAAAGGAGGGAGGGAAGAACAGGGAGGAAGGAAATTTTACACAGCCTTCCCAACTCAGGCAACACCCGCATAAGTCACCTACCCAAGCTGTCCCCCCACCTTTCCAATTCATGCAGCACCTTTGGTGCATCCCTTTGCACCCTCCCCAACCCATACGCCCTCCCTCCTTGAGCCTACCCTGATACTCATGGCATCTCTTAAACACCCCAAAACCCTTTTCTGATCCACAGACACATACTCTCCTTGACACATACAGCACTTTTCTCACACACCATGATCCTCACTGTTGTCTCACATACCCTTCTCGATCCATACTGCTCTCTCCATCATACCATCTCTGATCATATGGCGCCTCTTGTACAGTCCGAAACACACCAGAGAAAATATCTCCAAAATGATGACTTAGTATGGCCTGGATACTCTACTTGTACTTAATCTTAAGAGAGTATATGTCCTAGATATAAATATTGTAGTTAGACGTAGAACAGTTGTATTTACACCCTGAAGACAATCTTAAATAATAGGATAATAATTTCTTTTTACTGCTCAGAATGAAACTATGGATCCTCCTATATTGGCTCTTGCTCAGCATAGCTCTGAGGTCATTTAGTTCTTTATACTAAAATTGTCCGTAAATCTGGGCACCATCTGTCATTGTTATTTGCTTTCATCTTTGTGTAATCTCTTAGCATGTTAATTTAATGCTAAACTGATGTAGGGTTAAGTGCAAGACTATTCCTTGTGCACTTTGCTTAGTGCTTCTCCCTGTACTCTAGTGCCCAATCCCTCTTCCTAATTTAAAGGTATTTCCTTTCTTCGATCATATTCTTGGTTCTGTTGCCACCTCCCCCACCCATACCATCTCTGGCAACTTGTCTCATGACCCAGATTTTTGAGGACATTATAAAACTCACTTTTTCTTATTTATGTAGTAGCCGTGTTGTGGTGAGATCAGAGCTACATTATTTTACAGTTCAGGTTTGCAGGACATATGCTTAAATGTTTTTGATTTCAAGATAGAAAATAAATACACAATCCAGGTCAGTTTCTTCATTTATTGCACTTTTGATTTTTGAAATGTCGACTGATTTTTCCTGTGAGACATCATTTTTTATATCAACTGTGTTGCCTGTTATTTGTAGATCCAATTTCAATGCCATCTCTATCTTCTCATATAATACTTGTTCCTCTGCTATTTCTTCCATAATGTCTTCTGAACAAATTCTGTCCGTAGAAGTAAACATCACTATTGACATTGTTACTAATTTTCAATTCCATTTTTCAAATGTGTCCTTCAGTATTTTCAATATTTTAATGTTTTGCATCATTTTATAAGTCCAGTTAATTAGCTGTTAAGCACGTTAATGTATTTTTCTCCTTTAAATAAAAACTTTAGTTCCCCATTGTGACCAATTTTTAAAACTAGTCATCTTTACAAAAATGCGAAACAAATTATTTCTTACAAGAAGGATTTTTTAATAATTAATTCCAAACTGTTATTCCAAATTTCTCTGATTCCTTAATCTATTTATAACTTTATCAGACCAAAGGCTTGTTTAGCTTTTTGCTGTTTATTTCAATTTTGAAAAATATTTTTTTTTAAATTAAGGATTAAAAGAAAACTTACCGAATGTTTTCAGACTTTTCAGACTTGACTGAAGGTCTCGGGTAGCTTAAAAGCAGTTATAAAGCAATTTCTGAATATGATTAGGAAAGGAAATTTGCAAACTTGGTGTCTTTTAAAAGGCCTCAATAATGGTTATGAGCAAGATGATTACTCCTGTCATCTCTGAGTACTCAAACTCTTCCAGTGATAGTTGTCTTGTAATTTCCCTGCTGAAGAGCACATGTTTAGAGTGATTGTGGGCTATTACCTGGCTGGGGAGATTCCAAAGAACTGGTATACACACGAGCTCATGGTTTTTCGCTGAGTTTGTTGGCTTCGCTTTTCACAGAACCATCTTCACCATTTCTTCCTTCAGATGTACATAACTGCTTACATTTTGAAGTGATGCAATTTGTGTACAACATCATTGTGTTTTTTTGATTAACCTGTCCTACCTTCTATCATAGTTTCTGTTTCTTATACTAATAATCAGCCAGCTATGTTTTTAAATGGTGTGTGACAGCTCTCTTTCCAAACATACACAAGTTTTCAAAAATATACAAATGCTAAACAAATGGGAAACAGTGAATTTGCACAGCTTATTCTAAAATAAAATTGAACTTCAAAAATTAAAGCCATTTTGTATTCATGCTCTTCATTATTGACCACTTGTCTTTTATTTTATTTTCAGATTATGCAAGCTGCAAGATGTCCCACAGATGAACTCTCCTTAAGCAATTGTGCTGTGGTCAATGAAAAGGACTTTCAATCTGGCTTGTAAGTTCGATTGGTCTCTTTTTAGAGAAGATTGCAGAAATAGACTTTCTTCAGCCTGTTTCCCCCCCCCCCCAAAGTTATACATAGTAAATATTGAAATTATATGATTATTATTAGCAATGTGCTAAATGAGTTCTCTCTCTCTCTCTCTCTCTCTCTCTCTCTCTCTCTCACACACACACACACACACACACACACACACACACACACACACACACACACACACACACACACTGTTAATAAAACACCAGTTCTGTGAATTGTATTTTATTTGGCATTAGAATTTTTTGTGTGGAAAGGGGGAAAAGACGAGGCATTATCTTTGATATTTGGGCTATAGAAAGTTATTTGTTTATTGATCTGATTGTTAATCAGATTTACATAGTACTGGCAAAAATTAATATTGATTAATTTTTCATGTTTTCCATCTTAACAATCAAAGAAGATAGGAAAGCCAATTTGGCCTAGCAGTGGAAGAATGTGAATTGGAATCCTATCTTAAGACATGAAAGTCATCTGAATAAGTTTGGGCCAGCCACTCTCACTTTTAATCCTAGAAATAAAGAAATAGTCCCCCCCCCCCAAAAAAAAACCCTCCAAAGACATCAAGGTTTTGTGTGTGTGGTTTGCCAGAAGTCAAGTCTACTTGAAGACAACAAAATCATAGTGACTTCATTTGTTTAGTTTGGCTCAAACCAAAACTACAATATATAGAGTTATATATGTATATCAATTTTTAAACTATTAAGTAAACTAAGGTGTATGATAACTTTCACCTGCAAATTGCCTTCTGGAAGCTTCATTATCAACATGTAAGAAAGAATGTTTCTGGGAAATCGTTTTGAAGTTTTTTTAAAAAAGGACCTTTCCAATCCTTTGGCTTTTTTTGCTGTTTTATTATGATTAACTCTTTTCTATCCAGTCAGAAATTATTTCATTAAAAAAATCTCAAGAAATAAAATACTGTACTATATTTATTGCAAAGCAGAGTTTTGGATATTAGACTTCAATTATTTCATAGAACAGATATTGCTTGAGCTGACTGAGATATTGAAAGGTTTTAATAATTATGTTTTTTCCACCTCTTGTTCCTCTTCTCCCAAACTCTTTATAGGCATGTACTTGTGAAAACCTCACCCAACCACAAATATGTTTTTACCTTGAGAAGTCATACATCTGTTGTGCCAAGTAGCATTGCTTTCAGTCTGCCACAGGTATGGCTTTGATTATTTGCTTCCTTTTTGATCCCAAATACAAGCAATATTGCTACTAAAAGTAACTATTTTCAACAAAAATTAAAATTGCAGTGGCTCAAAAGAAAAGTATGCTTTCTGGATATCGTATGAAAATGAAAGCAAATTATTCAGTTCTAGTAAAGCACCTTTTATTGATAAAATATTAGGAAAAGTGGGTTGTTTGAGGACAGAGACCTATGTTATGTAAGATACAATATAGGCAATCAAGCAGCTGGATTGATGACCTCTGTAGCTATGATGCAAGATATGAGGATTGTTATTGCAGAATAAGCATTCTGTATAGCTCCAATATTGAAAAATAATAATAATAATTTATGTATGATCTAACAACTTCAGTTTCTTGTACCAACACCTTTCAAATGTAGCTTCTCATCAGCTATTTAGCAACAAACCTTCAGAAAATGTGACTAATCTTTGCGGCTTCCCTGATTCCCCTGTGGTGTTAGCTAACAGTTTGGACTTGTGAATGAAGAACAGCGTAGCCTTGATTTATGTGAGTGAATAGGACTCATTCTAATAAAAGAATAAAAAAGCAGCTTGCTGAGCTGCAAAATAATGTTTTACTTCTATTATTTTGTTTAATAGAGTTACAATCATGTGGGGGGAAAAGGTACACTCTCTTTGAGTTCTACAGTTTTATGTATCAAGGCATAGTAAAAATAATCTGGTCTAGCAGTTCTTAAAAGTAGGTAAATACTAAATATGCTGGAATCATAGCTACTAGAACTCCTCTTCAGCGTACTTAACATTGGAGGGTACCAGTCTGAGGAAAGCTGCTCTAGATCAGACGTAGGAAAAATTGGCCCCAGTCATTCAATAACAACCCCTGGCTAGAGCATGATTACTAGAAAAAGCACAAAATTATTGAAGATATAAAACTCACCTTTTAAATAAATACAAGAAAACCAAATTAGATAAAAAGAAAAAGAAGTAGAAATAGATGTGGAACCTGGAAGACACCATAAATATCCATCTATTTCATCTTAGAAGAAGGGTCTTTCACTCACATTAGCACAGGGTCTGGGAGAACAATCACTAACAGGATGGGAGCCATCTGGATCTTGAGGCTCTTCATTCCATAACCATGACGTTGCTAATGAAGTGATATCTGGTTATGTTCATAACAACTATGTACAGTATAATAGGCCAATAATAGCATGTTGCCTATAGGGGACAAAGTAATCTAGGATTGCAACTATGTTTTTGCATAACATGAATTTTACTGTGCTTATGGCTGCTACACAAAAGTTATTCATTATAACTTCAGATAGGTATTTTCCTCTGTGAATATATATGCATATTTAATGTAGGTAAATGATTGTTCTTTTTCTGGTATGCATTTTTTTCTCTATAGAGAAAATGGGCTGGTCTTTCTATTGGGCAAGAAATAGATGGTAAGTTTTTACTATAATTAATATATTTGATCTAATATAATTGAAACTTTTTTTTCTAAAGCTCTTTATGTTGGAATGAATTCTGTTGCAGTGCAGGTTTTTTTAATCCTCTTTTTTCTATTTGGCATTATCTATATGAAATACTGTGCTGGGATAGTTACACTGATCTTTAAATGCCTGTTTTTATCATTATTATTTCTCATCTCTAAATAAAAAGCTTTATGTAAGATATTTAAAAATTAATGATGATAAAGATAAAACAAGCAGATCAAAAGAGAAAAGAGCCAAACAAATAGATACATCGGAAAAGAGAAAGGGGGACACAGTGCATTTTACCTTATTAAATAATCAAATGATAAAGGAGCAAATAAAATATCCCTTTGGATGAAGTTAGAAATGAATTGGTGAAAAACTAACAACTGTAAATAGATACCTATATGGTTTTTGCATTTGAGCTATGGTGGCACAGTGATTAGAATGCATTACTACAGGCTAATTCTTCTGATTGCTGACTGCCAGCAGTTGGGTAGTTCAATGCTCACCAGCTCAAGGTTGACTCAGCCTTCCATCTTTCCAAGGTTGGTAAATTGAGGACCCAGATTGTTGGGGGCAATATGCTGACTCTGTAAACCAGTGACAGTGGGCTGTAAAGCATTGTGAAGTGGTATATAAGTCTAAGTGCTATTGTTATTGATTTGCATGCATGCATCTTGCTTATGGATTCGTAACTGGCTAACCAACCGCACTCAACGTGTAGTCCTCAATGGAACTGCATTTACATGGAGGGATGTATGCAGTGGAGTACCACAAGGCTCTGTTTTAGGCCCAGTACTCTTCAACATCTTCATCAATGATTTGGAAGAGGGAATAAATGAGGAACTCATCAAATTTGCAGATGACACAAAACTGGCAGGAATAGCCAACACTCCAGAAGATAGACTTGATACAGAAGGATCTTGACAAACTTGAACATTGGGCACTATCTAATAAAATGAAATTCAGTGGTGAAAAAAGTAAAGTTCTACATTTAGGCAACAAAAACGAAATGCACAGGTACAGTATAGGTGGTACCTTGCTCAATAGTAGTAACTATAAGAGGGTAACTATTGGAGTCCTAGTAGCAACCATTTAAATATGAGCCAGCAGTGTACAGCAGCTGCCAAAAAAGCCAACACAATTCTAGGCTACATAAACAGAGGGATAGAATCAAGATCACGTGAAGTGTTAATACCACTTTATAATGCCTTGGTAAGGCCACACTTGGAATACTGCATTCAGTTTTCGTCGCCACGATGTAGAAAAGATGTGGAGACTTTAGAAAGAGTGCAGAGAAGAGCAACAAAGATGATTAGGGGGACTGGAGACTAAAACATATGAAGAATGGTTGCAGGAACTGGGTATGTGTAGTTTAATGAAAAGAAAGACTAGGGGAGACATGATAGCAGTTTTCCAATATCTCAGGGGTTGCCACAAAGAAGAGGGAATCAAACTATTCTCCAAGGCACCTGAGGGGAGAACAAAAAGCAATGGGTGGAAACTAATCAAGGAGAGAAGCAACTTAGAACTGAGGAGAAAGTTCCTGACAGTTAGAACAATTAATCAGTGGAACAGCTTGCCTCCAGAAGTTGTGAATGCCCCAACACTGGAAGTCTTTAAGAAGATGTTGGATAGCCATTTATCTGGAATGGTATAGGGTTTCCTGCCTAGGCAGGGGGTTGGACTAGAAGACCTTCAAGGTCCCTTCCAACTCTGCTATTGTATTGTATTGTATTATATTGTATTGTATTCCTACAGTGGTATCTAATGGAATTTTCCCTCTTTTCACCCCAGTCTCTCTCAAAAAGAATGTTAGCAATGAGATTCTTGTCTCTATTATCAAGATGCTAATATTTTCTGGAGTGCGTGTCTGTTGCTTTATAACTGCAGTTAGTTATAATTCTATGAGAAGCAAGTTTTTAGGAATAGATGGATTCTATCATTTCATCTTACACACTAAAAGCTCATATTTTTATTGCTCAGTAATATAAGAAAACAAATGAATACACTCTTCAAGCATCCTAAATTGCTTTTTGATGATTTAGACAAAACTGTATAGCCATTGCGGTATAATAACTGCATATATTGCCTCTTTGCATCTGTTAAATCTAACATTACCATCACAGATGTATTCTCTTTTCAGTTAAAGGTGTTTGCTTCTCAGCTTTTTTATCAGAAAATCTCCCATAGGGAGTGTGGAAATCTTTTCCTACAAAGTAGATACTTACAAAACAGGAAGGCTAATTAGTGATTGCAATGGTATAATTCCCACCTGTATCTAAATTTGGAGGTTGTTTCCTACGTTTGATGCATGGAAATATACACCTTTGTGTGGCATATTCTAATTTCTGCCACTGTCACTTTTTTCATTTTTAGTGACTGTAATTCAGGGCATAGCTATGCAGTTAGCCTTTTAAAAGCTTTGAAAATTTTGTCGAATGAAATAAAACTGATTGCAATTAAGACAAAAAGAGAGATACCTGTACTTAATTTTTGCTACAGTTGTCAAAGTTACTAGAAAATGAATTCTACTCTCTGCAATACTGTTTGTGTCCCTGATATATGCAGTTGTTAACTCCAAATTCATAAACAGGAAATTAAGTCAATTGCATATGAGGAAACATGCTGATGGCAAAACTTTTTTTTTGTCTTTGAAGTGGGAGACTTGATTCTTTAATATTGTATAGGGACTTGTCCATTCATGGGCAGCTAGGAGAGATATTGTATCTATCCATGTTTAACATTTATTTCCATTACTCCTTTTTTGTAATAGCAATTTTTAATATAAAATAAAAAGCACATTATTACAAAAGCTAGAAATATTTTAATATGCTTTTATAACTGACTAGGAGTTATACATTTTGACTACTTATGTAATGAATACTTCTAGATTAAATGTGATGCCTATAAATAAATAGGCAAGATATAGATGCAGAATGACAAGTATTATCCTCCAGATAAGGAATCTGAAGGTCAGAGATAAAAATGGAGGCTAGATTATAAATAGTAAAAAAAAATTGTCAGAGAAAATATATAAAATTCAGAGGAATTCCATAATATTTTGAAAAGATATAATTTAGAAAGAGAAGTGGAACACCTATTTAAAAAATAGATTGATCTAGATGATATTGATAATTGATAAGCGATAATTTAAACATGTATGTTACCTCACTGTCAATGACTTTGAATGAAGAAGAATCATTATAAATTTGAGAAATCTACAGAATAAACTCATGGACAATATATAGAAGAAACTTACCTTGTATATATTATCAGGAAATGCTGAGGCAATGCTGGCTTTAAAAAGGTGTAGCATTCTTTAAAACCTGAACATATGTGATTTTATCAGATGTCATTGGATAGAAGGTGAAGAGATATGAGGTTTTTGAGAACTCCAAAAAAGAGAGATTAAATGCAAATGGGCATCTCAATCTCATCTGAAGGTTTTTTAGAAATGGTAGCAATAATACAAGAGATTAATAAAATACTTGCATCATTAATAGCAAATGAGTAAGCTAAAGAACTTCCAGACAAATCAAATAATGGATCAAGCAGTAGTTGTCCTTTCATAAAGATAATTGATAGCCAACACCATGGATTAATTAATTAATTAATTGAAAAATTGAAAAATATTCTCAACAGATATTAATGAACTAAAAAAAACCAATTTAAAAGGGAAGAGATTGTTGAAAATTGAAAAAGGGAAATGCATATGTATGTCTAATAAAAGTCTATATTTAAAAAAAGAGAATTAATTTGCTAGAACATAGAGAGATCAAAAGTTTGTGGCCCCTAGTAGACAGGAAAAAGTGCACTGAATCAGAGAAGGGAATTTGGAAAATATGTGCTTAATGAAACAGGGAGTTCACTTGGAACTGGGGAAAAATGCAGTTGCTGCAATTAATGCTTGAAACAATAGTGAAGCAAAATCTTATGAAAATTACAATGAGAGACATGCAGGTTCTTGGAGATACTAATATTTCTCTTAAAATATTTACAACTCTGGTTCTTACAAAAGGAAATGAATAGGAAAAGTATTCTACATTGCATGTCTTTGCATTTTCTCTTAAACACATGGAGACCTAAATATCCTTTAGAAAAATAATCCATCTACTTGTTTATTATAAAATTTAATCCAAAACAGATATTTGTTGGTCTAAGTGACAAAAAGCATTTTATCTTTTTTATTGATAGATTTATAAAAATATCCAAATTTATTCAAGAATAATTACTCACAAACTTACGGCAGAAATCATTACATAGAAAAAAAAATAAACTTTTTCTGGTTAGAAAGAATATCTGTGGTAAAAATGAACATTTTACCCAAGGCCAATATTTTATTTCAAATATTAGCAATAAGAACTGAATAGATTGTGAGAAATAACTCACCTTATTTTGTTATGCAATTTTTTGATTAAATTTAGAATTCAAGATGTGAAAGAAAAATATGGACTGCCTATATAAAATCTTATTGATAATAAAATTTATTATGGAACCAAAAGTTTAAGTTGGTTTACAGATTGAATCATATTGCCATAGAGAATATTTACAAAAATATTTTTGGTTGGATGCAAATATAGATGTTATTATAAGAGATTATTCAGTAATTAAAAACAGCATGTAATAGTATATAATAAATATAGATGATTTACTCTGGCCCTATTACCACTTGCTTCAATATTAAATATTTATTTTCATGAAAGTGTTCATACAAAAAGTGATCAGATGATAGAGAATTCATATTTATTGCAAGATTTAATAAAGATGAAATTTTTTGAAACAATTGTCAAAAATGCCTTATTGGTTCAGAATTTTAAAATAACTGGAATAACAAACAATTCAAAAAAGTGGGAACAGGATATTTTTTTCACACTTGGTGACAATATGATAAAATATAACAATTCTGAAAGATAGTTCATTATAGAAGGAAACTAATGTTAAGTATTAATTCTTCTAAGCATTATTAAGACTTATTTTTCTACAAAGTATGTAGAGTTGACTGACTATTTATATGATATCAGCTGCAAATAATATTCCCTCCCATTTCTAACATGTTACATGTGGGAAAAAGAATTGTGTGGCTTTCCCAAATCAAATACAAATGTATGTACCACAATACAAATATGCAACTAATTGCAAATACAAATGTAGCAACAATCATACCTTTATTTCTGCTAAATTTCACATTTATTTACTTACGGTATTAAATTTATTATGGATACCTATTTTAAATGCAGTAATCCTAAACTGATCACAATAAAGCCAACAAAAACAATAAAATAATTGTGTCACCCATGTATAAAACATTACTATTACTTCCTGTTGTGTGCTTCAAGTGATAATTGTTGATATTTTGTAAGTATTTAAGATTTTTCTTTTTGTGAGCAGGGAGGATTTGATGTAATGAAAGAAAAAAATTGTGAAGGGATAGGATTGATTATTGTAATTAAAGAATTATTGTAATTAAAGAAAGTAAAGTATCATGCAAAAAGCCTTTCATTTCTTTTATTTCTCCCCCATAATTTCCTTTTTTCATCTGGTTGTATTCTGAATTAACATGTTTCAATATTAAATTAAAATGTGATTTTTAAAAAATAAAATTAACAACATTCGGGGCCCAAAAGTCAACAGGTGTTAAACTTTTTTTGGAAGGAGAAAAGAAATCAATTAAAGATAGCCTTTTAGATTCTATATATAATTATTTTATACCTTTGCATCAATAATAGCCACTTTGATGTTTTCCAAATGTTCTTGAATTTAGCTTCAGAATTGGTCATGGATTGTAAGAAATTAAAATAAGAACTGTAAGCCAAAATATGTATCCCTGCTTTAGACAATAAAAGATAGCCCTCTGGTTTATTTGGCTAAAAACCCCATCTTAATTTCCAAGCCTGAATTAATAGCATGATTTGATAAAGACTTTTTTGTGGACAATTATGACTATAAAGATGTATATTAATATGTATTGGTGGTCTTTTATAAAAAATACTCTTTTTCTTAACTGAAAAGGACCTTTATTGTTTTGTGAAAAAAATGTGGACAGGTTAAAAAAAAAGAAATAAAATATAGTGTGTAAGCTCAATTTATTTTGTCTCTGGAATTATTAAATCATAATGTTTTATAGTCCTTATCCTGTTTATGTCAGTGTTAATAGTTTTATCTGTGTTTAAAAATAAATAAACATAAACCAGAGTATTCATTATCTATTTTTTTAGGGGAAGAGTATGTTCTTCCAAATAGAAACCATTTAGATTTTCATACCATTTGTTTTGACATTATACATGAACAGATGATTAACTGTCTTTAACCTGCTATCTAGAAAGTTGCTAATTAAAAAAGAAATTAAATATTCACAAATGATTCAAAGGGATAAAAAGTCTATAGGCACTTGCAGAGTTCTTAGAATTCACACAAAATGATAACAAAATTTTCTTCTAAAAAGACATTTTTGGCTCATATATTCATTTTAGAATTAAATTACCCCCCTCTCCAGTCATTTATAAGTGCAATATCAATCAATCAATCAATCAGTGCATTAGAGGCACATAATATTATGAGCAATTTATAAAATCCATGTTTTTTATTAAATGAGTAATGTTTTTTTTACTGTCTTTGGGCACAAAGGTCTGCTGAAAGGAATCATGGTTGAATAATGTTTTTTGTTTTCTCACAGTTTCCTTGTATAACTTTGATAAGACCAAGCAATGTATTGGCACTATGACTATTGAGATAGACTTCCTGCAGAAGAAAAGTATTGACTCAAATCCCTATGACTCAGACAAAATGGCAGCAGAGTTCATCCAGCAATTCAATAACCAAGCATTCACAGTTGGACAGCAGGTTCGTGCTCCAATGGTTTTACACATTTGTATGTTTCTCACTTAGCAATAACTTTTATATTTGATACCAAGATATGGAATAATTATGAATGATAAGTTGCATACACTTCCTTTTATATTGCAAATAATAAAAGGCTTTCTGTTGGCTTTTACATATATTTTTGTAGGCTACAAACTTTTGGAGATTATTTTGGGCTCTTGATGCCTAGATGTAGGCAACATTTTAAAGGACATCACTTAAAAAGCTGTTGAATGATATAATGTATTTATGCAGCCAGAATATCTCAAGTAATCCATAGTATTCTGCAACATTTGTTGGACAAGACTTCTGCTTGCTAGAATCTTTAGCCAAATTTATCAGAGCAGAAAAGGGAAGAAGCTAGCTAGGCCTGTTTAGGGATGGTACAAGTCAAGCTATATGTTTATTGTAACCATTAGATGGGATAATAATTGCAATAGAAAATAGAAAATAAAAAATAAGTTATATTTTCACCATTTCTTAAAATTATTTCTGCTGCTAAGGGTAGATGGATCCAGTGATCCATGCTATAAGAGATTGAAGAATGCATAATACTGTTTTTCTTCTTCCATTCAGTTGTGTCTGACTCTCAGAGACTTCCTGCAGGTTTTTCAGAAATAATCTGACTTTACCTCCTTCCTGGGGCTGAGAGAGAGTGATTTAGCTGACTTTGTACCCAAGGTGATTAATGCAGAATAGAAGTAAATAAGGTATAATTGATATTGGGTTTGAAATTGAAAAACAATGCCTTCCAGATGCATTCAGGTGATTACTTCCAAAGTTCCCATTGTGTATGAAGAATGGTTGGAGTGTTTCTTGAACCCAAAACATTTTTTCTTAATTCTGGATTATAATATAATCAGTGACATTGTTCTTTCTCTACCCTCACCATCTAATAATAAAGATGGATGAACAGATAGACTGTATAATATAAGACACAACCTGATAGTGATTAAAGAAGACATGAAGAGACTGTTACTTAGGGATGTGATTTTTCAGCAACCTGTATGTGAGAGTGAGCTTGCATTGGGAATACAAGCATTCTCACAATCTGATGGACCAGTTCACGAATGCTAATT